AATTTTTAAAAACAAATTTAGGCGGGATATTTCAAAAATTTTCAAGAACATTACTAGGTTTAGTAAATATTTTGGTGGGATTCTTAATTGTTTTATAGTTACTATTTTAGGATTTTTTAGGTTGTCTCTTTGTATAATAACTAGTACATAACCCGTGCGATGCACGGACTATATTCATTTTGGGAAATATAGTGTAGTGCCGGTGCGCAGTACGGTGGGGTTATTTCCTCGAACCTTTTTTTCTAAACTTTATCTATTATTTTTGTTTATAAATTAATAATTTGATTGTAATAGAAAAAAAAGAGAGAGAAATACAAAGTACAAAAAAAAAAAATCATATATCATTAAACACTTTTCTATACACAACATTATTGGTTTGATTTGCTTTCAAACCTTCTTCTCCACAAATTAAAATTTTCAGATCCTTTCTATTAGTAACACGAGAGACAGTGACATATAACTGGCCATGACTAAAAATTGGTTTCTTCAAGAATAAGCCAACATGAGAAAAGGATTGACCTTGACTCTTGTTTATAGTCATTGCATACGAAACCATAATGGGGAACTGCCTTCTTTGGAATTTGAATGGTACTCTAACATCCGAAGGAGTTATGGTCATTCGAGGTATCAAAACTTTATCACCTGCATGATCGCCAGTAAGAATCTTACACTCGAGAACATGATTGGAGAGTTTGGTCACAACCAATCGTGTACCATTGCAGAGTCCCATTGAGTGATCCATGTTCCGCAATAACATAACTGAAGTTCTGACCTTTAAATTCAACTCATGATTCGGTATTCCAGAACACTTGATAGTATTCAAGAACTCAAGAGTATGGACTTGTGCCAGAAAGTCGGTATTTGAGTCAGATTTACACATATCTGAGCTTAAATACGTGCGTCCTTCAGTCAAATTCAACGACGACATGTATGCATTTATAGATTCTACGATCTCGAGTGTTGGCGCGAGTATAGACCTATCTTTCAAGTAACTTGGATCATCGGTTGCATTCTTGAACATCGGATACGTGCTTTCAACAATTTTTGCAATTGGATCATCGGATGGCTCTAGTAATAGATCATCTGGTATGTCTATCGGAGCACATCCATCATTTGTACGCCCCAATGTGCCATCTCCGATGCTCGCTATCCAATCAGCAAAAGCGGCTAGCTCGTCACGTTCATTCGAATCGCCAATGCTCTGAAGACACATGTTCTTTGTAAGTCTAAGCACAGTACAGTCTCCCCAAATGGTAGAAGAATTAATAGCAGCATTAACAATCTCTTGACGATTCCCCTTTGGAACTACCGGAAGGATTTGTCGAAAGTCTCCACCAAACACAACAGTCTTGCCTCCGAACAGTTTATGATGATTTTATGGGTCGAGTGCTCCCATTATTGCCTTAAAAGAAGCTTGAACAGCTTCAAAACAATGCTTGTGCATCATAGGAGCCCCATCCCATATGATCAATGAAGAGCGAATAATCAACTCTGCAAGGGGGCTAGCCTGATTGATATCACACGATGAATTTTCATGCACAGAAAGAGGAATGCCAAATCGAGAATGTGCAGTTCCACCGCCCGGCAACAGGAGAGATGCTATTCCACTTGATGCAACACAAAGAACAATTCGACCGCGCGATCTTAGACCAGCAGCTAAAGTCCTCCACAAGTATGTCTTGCCAGTTCCACCATAACCATAAACAAAAAACACGCCGCCCCTACCGGAATCAGCAGATGTCATTATTCTGGAATAAACACCCTTCTGTTCATTGGTCATATGTGTCAGCAATTCATCATGCTCATTAGCTAGAGCCTTAAGGCCATAGTTAAGTTCATCCATAACCAGACGGTTCACAGTTGAATTCATACTACTCATATCTGGAAAAGACATAGTAGAATAGTCCCGAAGGCTTGTGCCACGATGTCTCAATAATGTCTCAATCTCTGCAAGAGCTAAATTTTTTATATCTGCATCACCCAGCTTCAAACCTGAAATAATGATTGATGACCTATTAGATTTCGTTTTTATACGTGGAATACAAAAAAATTTAATAATTAAGAAAAACGATGTTATTATAATACTTGATAAATGCACAATATAAAACGCCCTAAATCTCATACCATCATTATCAAAAAGACGACGTTGCTTGTATAGTATGTCGTCAGATAGAAATTGGCAACACCGTTCCCAAACTTCATCGGGTTTGCCTAAGGATCCAGAAACCAATAAAGACGCGAACATGCGCCTAAGAGAATCAGCAGATGCCCACTGACTTGCTTCGGTAATTCCATCAATGTAGTCTCTATCATCACCCAACAAACCTCGTGCATAGCAAGCATCGCGATAGGACATGTATTGAACATCGCCTACCTTCATATAATCCTCGTGGCATGTAGCTCCACGAACAACATTGACCAAACACCTCAAATAATAATTATCACCAGCATTGGGAGGAACATAGCTCAAACGACCTATACAACTTGGCTTTATTCGAGGAGTCCAGACTCTTTCTTGTTTGTTCCAAACAAATTTTGACGGCGCCTCAACATACGTCAGTTTCCTCGCCTCGGGATACATCTTGTTCGCTTCCATCCATGCCAAAAATTGGCTCTCATTGACGGTGGGATTATTAAGAACTTCATTGATAGGATCATCATCATCAAAAACAATATTATGTTCACCTTTCAAATGGAAACTCAGACGTTGCACAGAAGGTTTTTTGTACTGCAGTTCATAACCCAATAGCCTCCACGCCGCCTCGCAAGAAGACACATACTGACAGTCATAAAACATGTTGATCTCGTTAACAGGTTTTTCTATTTCTTCATACGTAGTCGTCTGATAGAATGATGCGGTGACACGATCATGACCTTTATTGACGTACTTGAAAAGGTACTTTATGGATCGCGATTGATTACACCACACGACATTAATATGCGCTCCATATTACTTCAATAATTTGCGATTGTGAGGCACGACATAACCATTATGGACAATGACACCATTGTTTTCAATATGCCTTCCATTGTCTCGACGTCTGTATCGTGGATAACCTTCATGGTCGACAGTGGTTAAATCGACAAACTTTTTAGGAAACCGTTTACTACATTTGCCATCCACCATGCACGAAGACGATTTTCTAGCCAAACCACAAGGTCCGTGGATCATGTGCTCTTTTACTGCCTCATAATACAACAAATCCTACGTCTCATCAGGTATCTCCGCAGATATTACTCTGTCCATGTCTGACGGATTTGGGAATTTATTTTCTTTAGCGAGAAATAGTAGTATATGAGCATGCGGCAATCTACGCTTCTGAAATTCAATGGTGTAGACAACTACTAAACACAAAAGAAGATAAAACAATTAGAACATTTTTTAAAATGGTGTTAGACACCACGATGGACATATATACAACAATTTTTTTTTCTTAAAATAATAGCTGCTATGACTTTGCCGAAAATTTTCTTTTTACGAAAATCCATGATTAATTCCTTCAATTTTGATTTAAAAACCCTACATATAATATCCGGACGATCCTTAGGTCGCATTCTCTTTGGTTCCAAAAAAGAACAATCTCAGGCCATTTTGGATTGCATGTGAATGTTATAAACAAATCGGGATAACCTGCCCATCCACAAATTGCCATTGCATCCTGATAGTTTTGAATCATGTTTCGAGGTCCCCCAGTGAACGAAGAAGGAAGTATAATTCTTTTTCCTCTAGAGCTTGGATCGACATCGCCCTGGAGAACAGCATCCGCCAATCTATTGTACATATCACATCGGAGTCGACTCTGATTGAATCGCATATACCGCAACCTCGATGATTCAACCATGGTATATGCATCAACGACAAACTGCTGAAAACATCTTCTCGCTGAAAGAATAGTAGATGGTTCGTGTTTTCGATCATGGATCCAGTACGCGAAGTATTCCCGGACACTCATTGTTTTTCGACCACGCTCTTTTTCAACTTTTCGATCTGAAAATGGAATGTCTTCTCTATACCCATCCTCACTGTAGGGCAAAAGAAGGGGATATTGTAAAGTCATATATGAAGCATTAAGCTCATTTATTCGCTGTAGTCGTCCACTCTTGGTTTCAACCAATATATCTCGCTCACCCATAGCCTGATCAAAATCTCCAACGACCAATACAACAACTTCAGAACTCGTAGGCAAGTTATAACGTCTGGCATCATTAAATCTCCTTCCAATTAAACGAATCCTGACATTAGATTCGCCATGATCTTGATTTCTTTCTCTAGCCAAACAAAATAATTTCACAAGTTCGTTGTGCTCATCCAACATGGTCGTCAATCCAGAAATAATTTCTCCATTCAAATCAGTAGCACCGTCAACATTTCTAAAAAAACGAAAGAATGTTTTTAAGGCAATCAAATCAAATATTATAAAAGAAAAATAATAAAAACTCGATTAAGGATATTATTTAAATACTGACCTCACAACATTCATTCTGTTGGTTACTTCATTATCAGTGTCATATATATAGAACTGAGCAAAATTTGAAGTTGAACCTTCAGAAAGAAGTAAACTACCCATGAGATGGTAGTTTTGTCCGTGCAAACTGAAAACGGGTGGTCCCGATCCTTTGTTGATATCGGTATTCATCTTGCCTCCCAGAGAAGTAAAGCCGAACATGCTGTTGTAGGATCTAATGTGTTCTTGAAAGTGTTTGCTAACGCAGCTATCTCCATGTAGCAATTCACTCAAAAATTATGGCGGATTATGTAGAACAGGGAGTTCAATCATACCATTCACACAACAACCACCGTACTTAGTAATAGCCAACGTTCTCTCAGAAGACTTTCTCTCAGCATAACAAAACATTGCTCCGCACTACATGCATTCAACGTTGGCATCACCCATGTCCCAGTACTCTACGATTGTTATGATGAAGAATATTTTAATATTATATAATAAAACTAATTTACACAATTTTTCATAAAATCAAAATTAAAATGATAACCAACCGGATTGTGTAGAAGTGCTCGCCAATATTTTTTTAGGTCGACCAGGTTTTTTCTTTTGATTGGTAGGTGGCACTTGATCACGCAAATCAACACCTACAATAATATAAACATAATCAATTCAAAACTGACCACTAAATATAATTACATAATTCACAAATAAAATAATAATATCCATAAACATACCATTTTGTGTGAACGTGCTTCCAATTATTTTTTTTGGTCGTCCACGTTTTCTTTTAAGAGACGTAAGTGGTACTTGATCGTTAGCCGTGTGATCAAATATCTCACTCGATATAGTCGGGTATGGCGTTGGATTGACAGTTATTTCTTCAAGGTCTAAAAAACGTAAATAATTGAAAAAAAAATTGTTAAAAAAATCATACATAAATATACTGCAATAAGTGATAAATCAATTATTTAAATAACAACATACCAGTTTGTGTGGACGTACTTCCTATAACCTTTTTAGGTCGACCACGCTTTCTTTTAAGTTCCGTAAGTGGTAGTTGACCGTCAGCAGTGTGATCCAATAAGTCACTCGATATATTCGTGTATGGAGTTGGAGTGACGGTTATTTTTTCAAGTTCTAGAAAACATAAACAATTAAAATATATTTACTTAAAAAATTTATACTGAAATATCCTGCAATAAGTGATAAATTAAGTTGTTAAATCACAACATACCAGTTGATGTGGACGTATTTCCTGGAATTGTTTTAGGTCGACCACGTTTTCTTTTAAGAGTCATAACTGGTACTTGATCGTCCGCACGATGATCGAATATCTCACTTGAAATAGTAGTGTTTGGAGTCCCGATTATTTTTTCAAGATCTGGAAAACGTAGAAAATTACAAAATATTTGACATTAAAAAAAAAAAAAAAACTCATACTGCACTAAGTGATAAATCTAATATTGAAATAACAACATACCAGTTTGTGCGGACGTATTTCCAAAAATCTTTTTAGGTCGACCACGGTTTCTTTTAACAGTCGCAAGTGGTACTTGAGTGTCAGCACGGTCATTCAATATTTCAGCATGGGAATCAATAACTACAATAATTCAAACATAATAGTTATAAAAGGGCACTATTTCAAATTAAAAAAATACATAAAAATAAACAAAACATCCAAATGGACATTTTTTATTACCTTGTGGTTGCTTGAATATACTATCATGACTAAGAAGCAAAACTTCGTTAACATCGTCATTGTTAAGATTAATGAAGGGTGACAATCCTAAATTTTCTGCGAGTAATTATAATAACAAATACATGTATCGCACTTGGTAATATAGAAATATTTATTTATTAATGTATAAATAAATACACTATTAAATGATAAATTATTTTTCAATAATTTTTACCACTAGTGATGTCTGACAATGGTACATTTTGAGTACTATGCAATACACTTCGATATTGATATGAAACACTGCCCAAACGATTGCTATTTTCTAGACAAATAAATGATGCTCCACTGATAAGAGATGGTATACAAATTCCTGTAGAAAAATAATATTCATAATATAAAGCAGCTATTAATATAAAAACTTATAATCTATTAATAATTCATTATAAAAATATAAATTATACACAAATAAGATAAAATAGATACACAAAATATTATACAATTAAAAATAATTATTAGCAAATTTAATGAGAAAATATAAATTAAAAATCTATTTTATAAGTGTGGCCTAAATAACATTTTCTTATTTTATATAGACCATGAATTAAAGCCCAATTTCATAGTATAAAAATAATTTTGAAACTTAATTTAATGAGCTAAATAATTACAGTATTTGGGCTTAATAGGTAAAACCCAAATTATTTTACATATAATCGTGTCGCATATTTTGTTAAATAATCTGGCCCAAACTCTAATTCATACAGTTGGGCCAGATTTTTAGTTTTCAGCCCATTCCATATTTTCTCCAGATTTGTTTTTTTAATTTCTACTTCAAATCGAACGGCCTACATTTACACAGATAATCGAACGACTGATATTGATTAAGAAATGGTGTAAAACGAACTACTACACCGATAGGGTTTCATTTCCCTTTCTTCTCCGATTTCGTCGCCGCTTGGATCTATCTCTCTCTCAATCTTGTTGTCCGAAAATTATCTTTCCTTTACAAATCTTTTCTGGATTTTTCAGTATAGATGTCCTTTTATGTTCAGTAAGCCTTCTAATTTTGTAAATATCAAGCAAATCGATTTCCTTTTTCATAGGATTTTTTTTTATTTATAAAAAAAAAGTGAAAATTGAAATCATTATCGATGCTTACTTCAGATCACTGCGATAAAATGGAAATCAAAGTTGTGTTCAGCCACCTGTGACAAAGGTAATGACGACAATCATTTTAATTTTTTTTACTTAAGTTTTTTTTTTTGAATTTACTGTTATTCGTGGATATTTGTATGTTGATTGTAGATCTAATTTTTTTTATTCATATGTTGACAGAAACTGGGGGAAAATGGGTGCTGCCCACTACCATGAAGGACACCATGAAAGAAGGGAAAAAAACCCATATGAAGCCCAAATGGGGTTCCATCCCAAAACCAATTGGTGGAAGGAGGAGTAGCCCATTAGTCTTATAAGGTGGGTGTAGCCCATTAGTCTTATAAGGTGGGTCTATTTTCCATATATGAACGATGTGGGACAACTCACAAGTGATATTCTAACACGTCCCCTCACTTGTGAGTCCTTCAAAAGTCCAAGCCCAACTGGAGGAGTAGCCCATTAGTCTTATAAGGTGGTTCTATTTTCCATATATGAACGATGTGGGACAACTTACAAGTGATATTGTAACATGTTCGTTGTGTATCTGAAAATAGAACGAAAAAAATATGTCTGTTACCTGTTTTTTGAGCTAGGATCTGATTATATTTATGTTGACAGAATTTGTATGTGAGGTGTTTGTCCTGTTTGTTTGTGGCTGAGATTATATGAATTTACATGATCCGTTTATGTTAAAATTTGCAGGAAAAAAATAGTGTTTTGAATGTTTTTACCAGCCCAATAACTATATATTCTATCGAGTTTGTGTCAAATGAATTAGTTGCACAGGTCTTTCATTGTTTGCATCATTAGCCATTGTTGTGAAGTATTATCATGTTTCAGAATGGCGATTGGCGGACTATTGAGTCATTTTATCTAATATAAATGCAAGGAATTAATTGAAATATGCATGCATGTATGTATATTATGTGTTATGCTTTTGAACCGAGCATGTGTACCTATTTGCAGAACATTTTTAGTGCCTTATATATTATTTTGGTTTTATTTGACCTCATTATTTTTGCTGTGACATTATTATTTGGTTGATTAAATGTGTAATACTGCAATATAACACACAGATTTATATTAAAACTCAAATTTGTTTAAAGTACATGGTCTAAGTTCAACTGTAAGTTCAATATTTAACTCTAGCCAATATTTTTTTATGCATGAGAGTCATCCATTTGTATAAAGGACATTAGGGGAATTACAATAAGCTGCAGAAAACTGAGGAGAACACCAACTAAGGTTTTAGTGTCTTACAATACTGCATTACATATAATAATCAATTTATGGTAAAAGTTGGCATCCTCATATCATGTTTATTTCAATATTTTATCAATCTTTCTTTATAGATAACATATAAGCTAACCTACTGGAAGGATCAGAAGGTAGAACAATCAAGTTCATAACAAATTGATAGCAAAAGTGTTCAGGGACATGAAAAGGTAAAGATTGAGAATAAAAACATGTTTATATCTAATTAAATAATTAAATAAGTTATAAGAAATACCTACATTCTGATACTGTTCATGTGTTTATATTATTTATTATTTATATTTTATCAATAAAACATCAACAAAACAAAAACTGCAATGAACTGATTAATTGATATAGATGTACATTGATTGAAAGTCTGACATAAATTTATACATCGGTGCAAGGACGATGATACAAAAAAGAGACTGCCTCTACATTCTTCACAATACATCAGTCTTCACCATACCTCATTCTTCACAGTACAAGTAATGTTTAATTGTTCATGGGACAGGTAAAGTTTCATTATTCACAGGTAAAGTTTCAAATAAGAATCAATAGTGAATCTAAATTACCTTCTTCGATTATTTGATGTTTATCTCGCTCTGCTGAACCGTATAGTTGTTTGTGTGTGTGATACGCTTTTTTCCACCTTTGTTCTCTTTCATATTGTATAGCAATCCGTTGAAGACTTGCAAAAAAATAAATTTTGCACAGATACCTAATAAATTTTTGAAAACATGTTTTTCAAAAATATGAACTCAACTACATACAAATCTGCAGTATTTTGAATCATGTGAAAAATACTATTGAGAATATTCATACCTTTAAAAGGTCACTCGTAAAAAATGTCGATGTCAAATTGTAGTTATGAGATAATGATAATATTTATAAGAGATTTTAGGTGTTTGACCATATCTTTAGGAGTATATCCGATTTAGTTCTGATTTTTTGGTAACTAAATATACGTTTTAGATAAATAATTCTGTACATTAGAAAAGTGAATCACTCTACGTAATTAGTGTCAAAATCAAGATGATATAAAAAATAAATAAATTTTGCACCGTTATACCTAATCAATTTTTGAAAACATGTTTTTTCAAAAATATGAACTCAACTACAAATCTGCAGTATTTTGAATCATGTGAAAAATACTATTGAGAATATTTGTACCTGTAGAAGTTCACTTGCAAAAAATGCCGATGTCAAATTGTAGTTGTGAGATAATGATAATATTTCTAAGAGATTTTAGGTGTTTGACCATATCTTTAGGAGTATATCCAATTTAGTTCTGATTTTTTGGTAACTAAATATATGTTTTAGATAAATAATTCTGTAAATTAGAAAAGTAAATCATTCTACGTAATTAGTTTCAAAATCAAGATGATATTAAGAATACTTACCAAAATAATCCATTCGATATTTCTCAAATAATATTTATAAATTTATAATTCGTTTTCCTTGTTGTACGATGATTAAGTAGTTTTTATTTATGCGTAGTAATATTTATTCGTAGTAATAATATTTATAAATTTATTATTCATTTTCCAAAAAGTACTTTATTATCAATACATTTTGTTATTCGAAATGAGAAAATAAAAAATGTGTCGTCAAAAATTATATATTAATTTGTTAGTATTTTACATAACTTAGATCAGTTATTAGATTTATTTAGTACTTAATAAGTACTTTTGTTAATGAACATAAGTGTACGTCAACTTTAAAAAAAAAAATGTGAAGCTTACTAAATTAGTTAAATTAAATCTATATAAACACATGTAATAACATAATGGAAAAATCAACTTTATTATTGAGGATTGAAATCTCGGAAACTATATTCCTAGAGACATCAACCAAGAAGCAACATAAAGTTGCAATTATTCGATCCAAAATATCAAAAACATTATTAAACTAACCAAACAATCGAAAAAAAAAAAAAAACATCCAAGCAAAAAAAACATAATAAAATTGTCTTCTAATTCAAAACCAAACATCTAATTATTATTTCCTTCATCAGTTGGGAGTAAGTTCCTATAGTCATCAACTTTCGCCTTGCCCTTCTTGCTCGTCACGGATTCCGCTTGTCCACAATCGGGGTCAATAACAAACTCATCCATCAAATTACGTTTTGCATTGGATGTATCACTAACTTGCTCAACAGCACGAACAGTCTTAAGCGGTGAAATAACTTCCTCTTCATCATGGTCCTATTCAAAATAAAGTCAAGTATAAACTTGAAAGAAAATAAACTTAACTTATAAGTAAATATATTTAATATTGAATTATAAGTATTTATACTAACCTTAGTAGCTTCCTCCCTTTGTAAAAATGTCATAAAATCGGAATTCTATAAAGAAAAATAATCATAATTAATTTTCAAATCATGTATTGTATGCCAAAGAAATATGATTAATTTGTTAAATCTAATTATATAAACTTACATCATACTCTACAACCCAATGGTTGTACTTGATAACCAAATTTGCATCAAGAATGACCCTTTTTTTTTTTCCCAAAACGATAGAAATAACTATATAAAGAGCTCAAAGCGAACCAAGTTCGAATACATAACAGAACAACCACTGGCAAATAAAAAAATGAGAGACACGCACGCAGGCGGCCTAGAACCTCAAAGATAGAAGTCAAGAGAAATAAGAAATAAACAAAAGAAATAACACCCCACCACTGCCCCAAAGCCTAGTAAGG